TGTTCACAACAAACAGATGAGAACAAAACCCTGGAAGAACCAGCACAATTCTCTCCACTGCCCCTAGACCAACGAAACTCTGGTAGGTCTAGAACAAAGTTAGGAAATTTGAGTATCTGCAGGAGACAGATACACTACAAATCGGGCAGTGAATATGTGAATTGAAAACTAATCCTGACTCAAAGACCTGTAATGATCACAAATCCATGGTTAAGGTTTTCCACACATCTAGAAATTCTCAGAGCCAAGCTCCAAGACTCTAAAGGCATACAACAGTCACCATCACCACTGGCAGCATTCTGACAGAGTGGAGGAACCTCATAGATAGAGACAGAATCTCTTCTGGGTACCATTACACTGAGGGGGACATGTCAGGACCATTGAATAGGGATGAACTATCCCTCTATAGGAGCTGAGGAAAGTTGAGTTGCCAACGGCAACAAAGATGAATGTAGAAGCTGACAATTGAATCACTGTACATGCTAACAATAGTCCCAACTCGTCATCAAATTGACTTCATGATCCTGAGAGTCTTCACACACCAAAGTTGGAGGGATAACAAACAGCTTAGCACTGTATATAGGGTGAGATGATCCCAAAAAAGGTGTGTTCTATTCAGGTTGACTACAGACTCCACTCTAGAACCCCACATTTCCAGGAGCAGGTGTATTCTTTGAGAGTCTGAATGTGTGTTCCTGGTAGTGGTAGGCTAAGTCATGTAGTTCTAACAATCAAGGTGGACAAAGCATAGATGTCCCTTCATGTAACTGAGCAGTAAACCTCCCTGCATGAACTGCAATATCAGTGGATGGAGAGAAAACTATGTATTTGCTCTCTGCTCTTTCTGCCATCAAGGAAGGTGCAGGCTCAAAAGCAACCCTGGGAAAGACCCAAAACATCACACACTTGCTGGATCAACTGAAGAAAAGATGCCGGAGGTAGCTGATCCCAAAGTGGCCTACTGAGAAGCCAACAGAATAAAGGAGTCAACAGTTAAAATAAAAAGTTGGTAGCAGGTGCTACCTGCCATATGCCTTTCCTCTAGTGAGTAGTTCAAAATTAGTGACAGTTGTAGCAAGTAGTTTTAGTAGCTTCACCATAACAAAGAAAGGGCAAGCTAGTGTGGTAGTATTGAGAATTGATCCTCAGACCATTGAATTATGACAGTGACATGTATGACAGTAGGCACACTACCAATATAACAATGGGTCACTGATCAACCTGGGGTCACACAGAGCACATGGACAAGCTGTTATTGATAGCTCATTGATATGCAACCCAAAAGTGCTGAACATAAGTCTCTGAACACATCCAGTACCCTGTGGCACTGAAATCTAGAATGTATCAGCCTGATGTTGGCAGAGACCCCATGGGAAATAGCCTGCTGCCTTTATCACTAGCAAGGTTAGTGTTTTATGGTGATACCAGGTGACAGCTGCTATGAATCTCCTATTTATTTTAATGTGATACTGACTGTAGTGAGTGGATCAACAATTTTGTGATAGTTGGTCTACTGGTGTTTGACTGCACAGAAGAACGAATGTATTTCACTGCTTGCTGAATACTGTATTTAGTCTGTATTGGGCTAACATTATGATGCTATATACTGTAGTAGACAGCACAAACATTAATCTGGCTGAAGGAATTTTAGATTAAAAGTCTAAGTTTCACTAAATTCTGCCAGTGAAAATTCATTTCATGAAGATGAAGTAAATTGAGTTTGTTAGCTCCTATAATGCACTACGTTAAGTACATTAATCGAGGAATAGCTGGTAGAACTAGCGTACCTTGGTTGCCATATGAGCAATAGCACATGAGCCAGAGACAGGCAGGTAGGTGTAGATGGCAATATATAAATATGAATATATAATGTTTGTGCATTGTGTTTCAGACATGTGTTGAAATTACATAAAGTCTTTCAAATGTGGTGTAAACCTGAATAAATCAATTATGCAAATAACTCAACAGTCAAGTGACGTATGAATACCAAATAAAGCTTTGATTTGAATGTTAAGATGTTGAGATATGAAGTATGATTATCGACCTGCAAGGGTTTTATCAGAAGCTGGTAACCTATGATGTTTGCTGCTTACTTGCAACTTTCCACCAGTAGTAGTTTTTGAATTTTGCTTGATAATTACTAAATACTAGTAGATGTACAAATCAATATTTTTTCAGAAAGTAGGCTTAGTTATACAACCAGAAACTGGTAAAAATAGCATGTTTGTCATTTCGTACTCGTAAAACCAGAGAGTTTCAATTTGGGGAGGATACAAATCTCATAGTATATTTTGTGTGTGGCATATAAACCTGCTGATGATTTGGACTGTAACCAACATGAAGCATGTATGAAAAAGCATAGGCAACCAAATATTTTCTAATTGAAAGGAGAAGAAATCAAGACAAGCAGAGCCTAGTAAATATAATTTTAAAAACCATATAACTAAAAAAAAGTTAAATAAAAGGTAAAGTAAGATATAATGAAAATGTGTCATAAGCACAATATTCTGATTTTGTCAAAAAATGATAGTACAATCAGTGTAAATTTAAGCTTGAAATAATTCCTTGTACAAAATTTTGCTTTTTACTATTTATAATCATCAAGTTCAATGCTCCAGTAGGAGCTGTAGTGAAGTATTCAGTACATTCTTAGAAAAGGAACACTAAAAAAGTCTTCCAGATGGAAAGTCTTTTGGAATCTGTCAGTGTCCCAAGTTCTTATAATACCACAAAAATTTATGAATAAGGAACACAGACAGATTCAATAGATAATGATCTTGTACTTGTATTTAAGCAAAGTCATCCTAATTAAACTAATGACCAGAGGGAAGGCAGCCAGTGTTTTTTCAATTAACTATAACAAAAATGTCTATTAACAAACATAAATCATATCAGTTAAGAATAATATAACTATAACTAAAAAAACATGTAAAATGATAACATAATAGTAACAAAAAAAATTATTTAGTTATATGACATACATCCACGTACGTTGGGGACAAGTAGTCTGACTGAAATTCTTGTATATGTGAACAGAATGTGTCAGAAATGCAGAAAATAGTCATGTAGATAAACTGAAAGTATATTTACTGAAGACTTCTGCAAATAGTTCCAGACAGAATAATGCTTTACTATTTTTTTTAAGTATTTTTTCTTACCCCCACATACAACCATATTGCCTTGTTTTCATTTGTTACCAAAACAGAATACAGCACAACTGTATTTTCACTCACACTGAAATGCTTTTTCTATCCTGTGGTTAGGACAATACAGCTTCACTTTATAGACCTAGTGTTTAGCAAGAGTAAGGGGAAATTCAAGGAGGTCAAAATGTTGCATCTATTTATTTTATTTTTTCTAAGAATAAATTCCCTTTAATCAAACTAAACTAGTTCTGTAGCTCACATATAGAATTAAAATTTGTCTTGTGTCTACAATTAAAATAGTGTAAATATTTGTTATTAAAATAAGAGAAGTTAAAATAAACCAGCTTGTTAAAATGTCTCCAGCATAATGAATCTATTTGTCTATTATGCAAGTGTATGAAAAGTTCAGTAGAACTGGCTAGTAAATGGTAATCTCTGATCATTCAATTTTGATGGCTGGCTAGCCTAAGGAGAGTATTGTGAAGAGTTTATTTAATGTAGAGCCCCAAGTTATTTTACCTCGACAAATGTCAAGGTCGTCACCACGTGGTTAACTATAATTATAACTAATATTAAGCTAAGAACTATAAGTAACTAAAACTGAAGGTACAAAACCTTAACTATAAGTATAACTATAACTTAAAAAAACCATAACTGAAAAACAAAGTTGGCAGCACTATATCATCCACCTTACGACAAGATGTACAGAGCACTATGGGCTGGTCAAGTGCATGACCCTAACAAAGTCTGGTAGACAGGGTTATCCACAGTTAAGTCATCCATTGCCTACAAGTACATGTAAACCCGTAGAAATGGTACTTGACAATAGCAACAGTTAGAAGCTGTGACTGAACCATCACAACACTGAAAATTTCACTTCCACCTAAATTTCTGACCAATTGATATCAATAATACAACATATCTTTCAATCTTGACTTTTTGTTGCACATGATCAAAATCTTGAATCCTTTTCACTACTTTGCTTTCAACTGCTAGAAGTTCCACACATATTTATTCTTCTGCTTCAAAACCCATATTCTTGTATGGATGATTATGCCTTGATAAAGATAAAGGAGTAACCCAAGGTTCTGGCAACTGTGAGGATGACTTATGTCTAACTGTGGCTAAAGACATCTTGTTTTTGGAGACCTCTAAGATGCAGACTTTCTTGAAATCTGCCAATAGCCTTTCCCTGTAGTCTGAGGAACAAGACATTCAGACTACAATATCAGCCAATCCTTTAGCTTTTTCAATACCAATGGTAGCAACTCCTCTGAAGTCAACCCTGCCCATATCAACTAAGTGACACCAAACCATTTGTGCTACCTTTCTCTATTATTACTTTTTTGAGTTCTACTAATCTTTACTCTTTTTCATCAGTAACTCAGTAGTTATCATTGTTTAATTTTGTGCATACATTTGTGTGCAGAATATAAAAGACATTATTCTACTTTATTTGGGAACTTACACTTGTTTCATGACCAGAACATAGTTTATGTTTCTTTTTGTTTTTTCACTTATTTTTAAAATTTAAAGTTAGGAATAGTCATGATAGCCTGAAAGTAAAGAAAAGAATACATACTGATGTCATAGCATAGCCAGCATTTTCTCTCTCTTTTATATAGTTTAGGCAGGTGAACATTTCAAAACATTTTGCACATACATGTTTATAATTAGGTACAACAGACGTACAGCAAATGATTTAAAGTAATGATATTCACTGTGGCCATTACTGTTTTGATTGTAAATGATATATATTTTGTTTGAATTCTACTCTTAAAAATTCGTTCATAGATTAAAAATTAACATACATCATAAAATTTAACTGATAACCTACGAATAAGTAATGCTTACACACTCATACAGTATTGTTCCTTGTTTTCTCTTAGGTGATTCTGTAATTCTTCAATTTTTTCTGTGAGTTTCTGATTTGTTGTTTTTAGACTGTACAAAAAGAAAGATAAAAAATTAATAAGATGATTTATTTAAAACTACCTATATCATATTAAAAATCAAGCTATCATTAAAAATTGATATTCTAAAATAAAAAATTTGAATAGATACTTGTTTAGTACAACTATTAACTAATCTCATGTCTTTCCAAGAATTGGATCTTGTTGTTTTGTTAATGCCTTTATTTCCTCTCCTGTACCTTGCCTATAATCACTTGCCAGTTCTGCACACTTGTACTTGTGATAACTTGAAATACTCAAACACGAGTATTATGCCTTCTAGTGAAATAATCCTAAGTCAATCATATTTAGCCACATGGCGTTTCTTCCACCCGAGTTTACAAATATACTTCCTACCTACTGAACTTCCAAGTAATACATTTTTTCTTGCCACTTCATACAGTACATACTGCATTATTTGCTTTTGACACTATCAAAGTACATCCATTTTATCAGATATCATTTGAAACCATCAGCATCACCTCCAGGTCAGTTATGTCCAGATACTATACAATCAATGAAGAACATTTCACACCATCTCTACACATACAACAATAGCCCTCATGGATACTGTGTTGTCAGGGTTTCTATATAACAGTCATTATAAAAGTCAATACAGAATCTGGACTTGCTTTTAAAGAGAAATAGAGCTAGATGGTACGCAAGAAGATTCTGACACAAATACATTTGAGCTTTTTGACAACATGACACCAGTGAAGGTCTATTTCTCACCATCTTATTATTATATGATATTTAAATGAATTCATGGGTTAGAAGATTCCAAATGATTTCATTGTAATATGTTTTTTTAAATTTTAATCATACAAAATTATAAGAAAGCTAATTTTTTTTTCAAATGTTAAGTTAAAAGTTTTCATTTAATGCATATGTCTTAGAGCACTGACAAAGCAATTTTGTTGAGGAATGTTGCCACAGTATTAATTCTGGCAATGCACTATAAAACATGGTCTGCCATTTATTGGGAATTCATTAACTCTAAAATGTTAATTTGATGCAGCAGTTATATGGTTTATTTTACTGCATTATAAAAAAGCTACTAGATGAAATAGTTTGAAACTTTAGATGAACTACAGATTACGTAGCTTCTGCAAATAAAATAACTTCTTCTCATATGATATTTAAATGAATTCATGGGTCTGAAGATTCCAAAATATTTCAGTGTGATATGTTTTTTTAATTTTTAACCATATCAAAATTATAAGCAAGCCAACTTTTTTTTTCAAATGTTATTTAAAAGGTTTTGTTTAATATATGTAATGTTTAAACCCATTTTACATTCACACATATATATATATATATATATATTATTTTTTTTTACTTTCTTTTTTGGTTATTCTCTTTGCCCATTCAAGTAATTACTTTGGCTGATGAGACACACAACTCACACAACAGCTTTTTCAACTTGTACTACCATCTATATGCACAATTTTCGTTTGCCAATAGCCTTGATACTCCCACCTACCCTCACGTGTTTTTACATGAGACAGATGTGTGATAGCATGCAAATGAAGATGCAACAACCCTCTACCAA